ACACACACACACACACACACACACACACACACACACACACACACACACAAGTATTAATTTTTATACAATTCATATTTATTTATTATACCTCTATTTTTTACCTACGCAACACGTAATGTCAGATGATGACTCTTTTTACTCAGCTTGCAACTCGCCTTCGTCTTTTCTTTCTATTGATAGTGCAGAATCTGAGTTTCATAATACTGGTACCCTTGGCGATTCATTAACGCGCGAATTCCAAAACTTCACGAACTTTCTAAACGTCTGTCATATAAATGCCCAAAGCATCCCTAGCCTTTATAACGACCTACTTGATACTTTCTCTTCTTCTAATATTCATGCTATTCTGATTTCAGAAACCTGGCTTAAACCAAACCTTGCTTCTACATCTTTTAGTCTTCCTGGTTTCACATTACTCCGCAATGACTGCACGGGAAAGGGTGGCGGAGGCGTTGCCATTTACATCCGTAATGACGTTCCTTTCAAAATTCTTTCTTCTTCTCCCTCTCTATACTCCAGTTCTTTGGAACACTTGTTCATCGAGATCAAGGTAAAGGGTATAAAAGTGGGTCTAGGGATTGTTTACTGTCCTCCTTCTATAGATTACTTCTCTTCGTTCGAAACTTTACTCTCATCTCTTAGTGCTGAATACACTCATCAAATAATCATGGGCGATTTTAATACCGACCTCATGAGAGCTCGCTCTTTGAAAGCAGTGATTAAATCTGTAGCTTTAACCATTCTACCTCTTGAGCCTACTCATCACAACGTAGACGCGTCGGATACCTGGCTAGATCTTATACTTGCCTCCTCTATTGATTACGTGGGCAAGGCTGGACAATTTTTGGCACCAGGTTTTTCACGACATGACCTCATTTACTTGAGCTACAAAATTAAACCACTTAAGGCTCAGCCTGTTACAATACAACTACGTAGTGTCGCGAGACTTGACATGGAAGTGTTAAAAAAGGACGCGCAGGCTTTTGATTGGGGCCCTACGTTGTCTGCATCAACAATCGATGAGGCGGTGTTTTCACTAAACTCCGCAGTTCTGAAACTTTTTGACACTCACGCGCCAATTCGATCTGTCAAACTAAAGCGCCCTCCTGCGCCGTGGATAATTCGAGCAGTCCGTATTGCAATGACAAGACGAGATTGTGCGTTTAGGAAATACAAGCGCGACCGATGTGAGCAAAATTGGCTCTGTTTTAAAGCTGCAAGAAATAGGTGTAATCAAATGGTAAGAGCAGCCAAACGTAAACATATTTATGAAAATATTTTACATTCTTCCCCCGTTAATACCTGGAAATTCCTAAAATCCATTGGTGTAGGTAAACCGCAAAATTCGTACAATATAACTTCTTCCTTCTCCTTAAATGAGCTGAATACTCACTTTGCCAAAACTGCAACCTTAGACACCAACACCAAACAACAAAGTATTGCATTTATTAGAGCACTGCCCAAAATTTCAAATTCTGTTTTTATTTTCACCTCGGTAACTGAAGATGAGGTCAGGAAAGTGGTTTTGTCAATCAAATCTAATGCTGTTGGGCACGATGACGTAAGTAGAATTATGGTT